TATTAAATAGATAGAGTTAAAAATTTGTATAAAACGAATTTACAGTTTCTCGAAATAAATTTAATAAACAAGGTGTAAGCCACCCGTTTTAAAAAAAAAAAAATGATTAAACTTATTCAATTATATGAAGTTTGCATAATATCCAATACTCTTTCCCATTCATATGTGGCACAGTAATCAATACAAATAATTGAAAGATAACAGACAGAACCAGAAGCTCAAAAGCCCTATTAACCCAAGAAACAATATTTCTGAAAGAATCTTAAGATATGAAAAGAGAACAAAAACCACTCCACTCAAAAGCCAACCATATGCAAAGAAACCTACCAACACAACTGGCAAAACATAATCAACTAATAAACAAGACCAATCAAATAATAACAACAATAGTCAAATCTGCCAAACAGAAAAATCAACCAACCTTCCAATTCAGACAGCAGAAATACAACTAGAACAGAGAAGCCCAAAACTCAACAGGCACTACTTTCTTTTGGAGCAAGATAGTAGAATCAGAAAGAATCAAATAACAACAACCTTTCTTTCTGGAACACAGTCAAACTAATCAACAGGAAAGCACAGGAGAACCAAGCCATCACAGACATATAAGAATCGATAATACCAATGAAGAGATGGATAACACAACTGGCAACAATTCAGACAATAGCTGGTTTACCATCAGCAAAGAAAAAAAATCAACTGAACTGTATGGCAGACCAAGACCAAGATCCCCATTCGACAAAGCAACCAGATATGGAAGAGAAAGATATAAAGTTGGAATTGATGCTAACCTAGTCAAAGGAAGAACTAGCAATCAGAAAATCGAACATATTTTCTTACACTTAACTTATCTAAAGGACTTCTGGCAGTTCGCAATGAAGAGAAAAATGAAAACATGAAAATCATCACCATTTTTGGTGATTAACAAGCAGCAGATTATGCAACCTCTATAGACATTCCCGAAATGGATGGCCACAAGCTCAGACATATGGAAATCAAATGCCAAGACATCAACAAAGAAAACTTTATAGTGGTGTGGGACATCCTCCTGAACACAAAACTCATTGAGATTAAACAAGCATTTTCCAAATTTGTAGAAATCATAGGAGTCACTGTAAGTACCCAGAACCTATGGCAATGTGCTACAATAACCTTCAAAGAAAGAACAACCAAAGAGAACCTAATTGAGAAAATGAGCATCTTAATCAAAGGAGACTCTATTAGGATTAATGATGCAGAATAATTCATTGGCCAAATAAAGGAAAGACATGAAATCGCAGCAAAACTAACCAACCTACTCCTAACACAACAGCATGGGATCTCAAAAATATTCTAACACAATGCAAGTGTCATATATACTACATCCCCAGAATAGCAACTATATACTATACATGTGGTAGAAATTGGTAGATCCTTGATGCAATTGACGCAATTATTTGACGCAATTAATTGAGTCACTATTAAAACATATAAAATAATTGAGTCAGACGCAATTATTTTTGAGGATTTTGGCAATTGAGTCAACAGCAAAATAATTTACACTACATGTATACTATATACTATAGAGCCAGACATTTTGCAATATTCAACTTTAAAATACAGGAAGACCTTCTAAAAGCAGTTCAAGACAAATACATCTTAGGAGAAACAGAACTAACTTTTATACCAATTACCATCAAATTGTATGCAATATGCAACTCAACAAGTCACCTGACCAAAGACTGTCCAATCAAACAGTGCTGGCAACAATGGCAAGAATATCATCAAGAACAAGCATCAAAATTTAAAGCAATTTATAACAAATTCAGACCTGCCAAGACAGACAACATTCGCAATATCAACAGATCCAAACCCTATAAACAAATCAGAGCTGGATCGTATGCAAATACCCTCAAGACTCAAATACAATAGAAAAAAAACAACTCCAACTCCATGACAGAAATTATCAAAATATTAAAACAAATATAAAAAGACCTAACAGAAGTGAAGAAAAAAAAATCACAGAACTCAATAAACACATTACTAATCTAGAATGTTACAACAAAGAATATTATGAATTAATGGAAAGTGAACAGATAGAAGAATCCAGAGAAAAACAAATTTCTTATCAAAAATCTCAAGCAACACAGAAAAACAATATTGATGACATTAAAGATCGACAACACAACTTTTCGCATCACTTAATGGAATGCAAGCAAGCATAAATCAAATTTTAGCAACAATAGATACTTTAGCCAAAATCCTATCTCAATCAACCCTCTATTCGAATTTTAATGGGGAACATGAACAGTAGAAATACTTCTGATTTGGAGGACCCTCTCACCAGTGAAACGAACCTCTTAACAAATGAACAAATAGAAAACATTTTAATATGGTCAGATTTCAAAACATTCACTGACGAAACAATAGCAACAACAATAAAAATGAGAAACCACTTCAACAATAAAATTCCAATTGAACAAATATCAACAGAAACTACAACTAGTACATCTCACAATACCCAACAAGTATCAACAATACCATAAGAATTAATACCTATAGTATTACAAAAATGGTATGCCATAACAGTAAACATTAGAGGTCTGAAATCTAATCCACTCAAAACAAATCTATGGATAAATTGGATCATAAAATCAAAAGCAGACATCATTACACTAACAGAAACTAATCTATTGACCAAAGAAGAACAGTATATTAAATTCTAGAATACACAACAATTTGAATAAGGAACAGTGAACAAATCAAGGGCTTTGGCACTTGCCTAGTCATCAAAAATCAACTTGCCAAACACATCTTCAAAAAATATAGCTGGGAAGACAGAATAATTAGTATTGATCTTCTTTTCAAACACAAATGAAAACTCAAAGTCATAGCAACCTATTTACCAGTAGCATTACACTTGAAATACCAACAATATATAACAGAACTCAAACGAATCATTAATGAAGCATCATATAATAGGCACACATCCTAATTATAGGAAATTTCAACATGGTTACAAATCCAAGTATTGATATGCCCAACTCTATCTTTTCAAACAACAAAAGATATTCACCAACCGGAGAAATAATTCAATGCCTAATCACAAACCAATTCATCGATACTGTAAGGATCTGTCAAAGTTCTCTCTATATATGTGGTGGAATTGAATTTAACTATTTTTCAAAAACTGTATTATGGTAGAATTACTAAGTAACATATAGTAATTAATTGAAATTCGTATTTAATTCGGAATCATATTGTCAATCAAATTTCCTTTTATGGTAATACGACCACATGTATGGTTCTCTCTAATACTTGGTTTTTTAAGGCTAAGGTGTAATAATTTGGTCCGAGTGTTCTTCTCTTTCTACAAAAATAAACTTCAATTCCATTCATTAGCATACACATTCATCTACTCAAACTATACCAAAGTTCCTGTTGTAGCAATGGGCATTCACACTATCAACTACTTGAAACTCTTCCAAATTTCTTTATGGTCGCAATTTTACCTTCAAATGTCACATATTTGTATAGTAGTTGGTTGATCAAATAGTTGTTAAGCAATTAAATGTTTAACAATTAGATGATTTTATTCAGACATTTTCTCTCGCTTTATATATATGCTAGTTTTAAAAAATTATATCAAATATATCAAATATATCAACTATCTAAACTATCACTAATATATCTAATTTCTTAACTATCTGAAATAAAATAAAGAAATTAAAGAAAAGAAATATATTACAGATATCTTATTTCTCTCAGATTTGTCATTTTTGGGATCGTCATTGCATACATTCATGTGACCATACAATTTCCCTTTCACAATACCTTTAAAGAAACAATCCATACAGCATACAACATATATGGGAAAATTCAGACAAAATCAAAAACAGAATCAATCAGATATAAATGTTTCTATCAATTCTCTGGTCAACTATAGAAGCATTTATTGAAACAATAGATCAAGAAACTCTCGAAACAGACTATCATGCAACTCACGTCAGAATCCAATACTGGTATACTGATATAGACAATAGAAAAAACATCAGAACCCAACCCAACACTAAATACAGGTGAAATGAAACAAAAAATAAAAAATGGAAGGAATGGAAACAAGAAATAGAGAACCAAGTACAATCAAGCTGGCCAAATATATGCAGCAACAAAAATACAGCAAATAGAAAGTGGAACATCCTCAGAGACGCAATCTTGCAAGCATCCTCAAAATATATTCAAAAGTACAAAGAAAAAAGACCAGGGCCTAAACCATCCAGATCACAACATAACCTTTTATGACAAATCTCAAAGCTTAAAAACTTGGGACATAAACTCTTCCACAACATAGAGACAAATACATCTGTTATGGAAAAAATTTACTCAAAAATTAAAAAAATAAAAACAAATTCAACATTACAATAGAAATTTCCAAAGCATCAAGTGACTATAAGCAAATTACACTATAGATGAATAAACTTATCAATATTCAAAACAATCACAAAAAACTCTTAAAGCAATATATACTAATAAACAAACTGAGGCAATTCAAGAATGCATCACATAAAAACAACTCTTTTTCTTTACAAACAAAAAACAAATAATTAGAAACTTATTCGATAGTTCCAAAGGACACATAATTCTGAACAAATTATTCTTAACAGATCCAGAAGAAGAAATAATAACCAATCCCCAAAAAATAAAAGAACAAGTAAGCAAACATTACCAAGAATGGAACAAAAAATGTAACATCCAAGAAATCAAGAACACTATTTGGGAGAAAGAATACAAATTACAAAAACCAATAAATAAGAACTGGTACAGGAACTTCACAAGCACAATCATATCAAAGAAATCCGGAAAATGATAAAATCAAGATCATCTAAATTAGTAGCAGGTTCCTCTGGAATTCCTTACATAGCACTCAAAAAGCTGTCACCAAAAACTATAACTTTTTTCACAGATCTTTTTAACATCATTCTGGAAACAAAAGAAATCCCAACAGAATAAAAGCAAGGAAATATATACCCAATACCCAAGCCAAAACCATGGGAAAACAATATAAATGTGACAAGACCAATCATTCTGCTTAAATCAACAAGGAAAATATTCATCAAAATCCTCACAGATAGATTTTTAACAATTCTAAACACATATCCCATCCTCTCACAACACAATTGGACAGCTCTGCCAGGAAGTAATACACAAACACCAATCCAAATACTGTAATCAATCATCAATAATAGCAAACAAAACTCAAAAACAGCATACATCTTAAGCTTAAACATGGTCAAAGCATATTATTCAATTAGTATCCAAAGACTTAAACATGCTCTCCTACGAATCAAATGTCCAAACAAATTTATCAATATAATATTAAACATCTGCAACTATAGAGAAAACCATGTTTTGATATCTTTCGAATTATCATCCAACTACATAATGGAAGACAGATTAGATTAAAGGGATATGATCTCACCTCTATGACCCACTTATATCAAAACTAATCAAAAATTATACAGGCTATACACTCACAACAAAACAATAGGAAGATCTATTATCACCATCCAAAAAAACCCTTCAACATGTATTGACTATAGCATATATGGACAATACAACACTCATTGCTCAAAACCAACAAGAGCTACAAGAGATTTGCTATATATACAAACTTCTACAAAATCAACAATATCAACATAAATGGAACCAAGTCTAATCTCACAATTATAAACAAAAACAAGAAACACCATAATAATACCATTACCATTTAAGACCAAGTAGTTACAGCCCTCAAATCAAATCAAGCAGTATGAATTCTAGGTGTATATATTGAAAGAAGTGGTAAAAAAAGATTCCAAAAACACCTGATTAAAGAAAAAGTCAACAAATTCGCAAACACCATCAAGTGGAAAGTTACCACGAACAAACAGCTCAGATATATATACAATCAAGTCTTAATATCAGCCATCACACACCTACTCTCAGACACCATACTCTCAGAAACACAATGCAACAACCTCATGAAACCATTAAACACAATCTATAAATACACAATTAGTATAGCAATAACAGTATCCAACTTGATTCTCTACAATTCTTTAGAGTATAATATTTTCAACATCTGGAAAAAACAAATTCTTATGTACTCAAACAACTGGTACAAAAGAATTAACAATCTACACACAATAGGCCAGATCACAAGAATGAGACTACAAGAACTACAAAACAAATGATGGTCTATGACATCAGTCATCAGCATGTACTTAACTAGTCCATTACTCCCCACAAAACAAGATCTAACACATGATATCATCATTCTTCTCAGATATTTTGGAATCACATGTATACTAGCATCCCTCAAAACAATTCCTAAAACAGATATAATCATAAAAGAAACAATGGGACCTCTCTGGTACCATACTCACAGAAAACAACTGACAAAAAATCACATAATATTTATCAACCAAATAATAAACTTTTCAGGCTCCCAGCTGGCTGCATGGGCAGAAATAACATATCACAACAAAAAACCCAACCGAAAGAAACCAAACTGGTTTAAAGAAATTCCAAAAAACAAAATCCTTAAAGAACTAATTGAAACAAAACAAAAAACATAAAATGCAACAAAACAAAGTTATAAAACATCAGCGGAGGTAACCAAAAGTGAAACCAAATGAATTACCACAAATATAAACAAACAAAATGTCATAGGCAGAAAGAAGACAATTAATCAGAACACCATATTCACCCAACATTATACCAGAATAGACAACCAATCTCCACTCCAAGAATGTTCAGGCTGTATAATTGACACCGCACATAGACAAGGAGAATGCATTTTTCAGATACAAAGAAACAGTAGAATCTGCATATCAGTTCACAAGAGCAAAATCAGTATAAGCAATATAAAGGATACATCCCTTTGACAGAGAATCAGAATCTCTTCAAACAGTGTTGATAACATTGTAGCAGACAAATTCCAAAACCATAATATCCCAACACCACCCACAGTTACAATTAATAGAAACACAAATCACAGTTTAATTATTAATAAATATTTACACACAAGCAATATAAAACAAAGCGAATTATCAGAGATCAAAACAAAAATTGGAAGACTAAAGAAATTCATAGTTTTTACAGACGGATCAATGAATACAAATCAAACAATAGGCTTTGATTGGCATATCAAAGTACAGAAAAAATCAACTTCCAAGGAAAAATCACACTATACCCATCATCAACAAGGACAGAATTAGCAACAATAGCCATAGCACTTATAATGATGCCAGCTGAAGCAGACATAACAGTCTGTAGTGATAGCCAAGCAGCCATCAGTGGCATCAAAAGAGTACAATCAAACATCCAAGTATTTAAAATAATAAAAAATATAAATATCATCAACATAATCATAACCATAATAGAAACACAAAAACTATCAATCATATGGTAAAAGATCAAAGCTCACAGCTTCATCGCAGGAAATGATAAAGCTAACCAACTAGCCAAAGAAGCCTGCAACTTAACACACGAAACTGAAATAAAA